GCATAATTAATGAGGAAATTCTATGATTACAGTGTTTTACATTATACTACTTTCATACATGTAATGTATGTAACCTATGGCAGGCAGAACATCAACAGATACTAATTATGCAAATTATGACCTAATTTGCATAATTTATGCAAAAATTCTATGATTTCTTAATGGTGAATAATGGGAATGTCATACTTTGGACATCTGTAAGTTAATCAAAAGTTAACATACATCACGATGCATATATCATGTAAATGCGGAGGTAATTTGCATAATTAAAGAGGAAATTTACATTTACATATCAAGCCCATATTTCATGGAGGTATGAAATCTCGGAATTCTTGTTGTGTCTAGAGAATGTCATCCATAAAGTCAGGTTGGTTTGATTAAAATGTATAATAATGCGCAATTAACGTAGAAGCTCACAAAAAGATCTCAAGGCAATCAAATAATGTAATGTAGCGAAGCGTATATCAATTAACAAAGCTGTACGACGTTGTGTCTGGGTAAAATGCTGGACTTTTCACAGAAAGCGGATCAAATTTTGTAAGCGTAGACCATCTGTTACACTCTACGTTACGAAATAACTTGCTTGTAAACAAGGTGATTCGGTTTGGTTAAACAAGTCTTATATTTCATCAATATTTCTAACAGGTCTTTACTGGCTCAAATACCAGGTCAAAGGAATGGTAGCCACAATGCTGATGATGTACATGACAAGACTGAGCCTGTCCAGGACCTTAGCCAGCAGGGTGTAGTCAGACACCTCCTCCTCGTTCTTCACAGCTTTGGTCAGCTCTCCAAGCTCCCTGGTCATCTCCTTTGTTTGGTTATTAACCGCCTTGGTCATCTCTTTTGTTTGGTTATTAACCGCCTTGGTCAGCTCCTTCACACACGAGATCAGCTCCGGTAGACCAGAAGAACCAGTGGTCTCCAACCCTGTAGCTGTGGAAGGCGTTGATGGCTGCCCGGTGCTCCTGGAACATGAAGGGCGGTTTATTAAGGATGAGAAACGCAGACAATTCAATGGCAGACTGTTCAATCTTCTTTCAGTTTGCTTAACAAAATGTGTTACATTGAAATGATTTAAGAAGACGAATTCAACTTCATTCTAGAAGGCAATAACCCTTCTGTGTACAGATAGGTAACTATGCTAGAGTATGTTTAGACCGTAGAACCTTACAAGAAAGAGTTATTAGTTGATCTAGCTGCAGAAGTACGTAGGACCATTCTTTTGTACCCACGTGTCTATATGTCTAGTTATACACCTTACGAAAGTCACTGTACTTATGTTGTGTTAATTAAATTTTCACTTATAACCAACACCACACCTTCCTCCTTCGTCGACCGGCGCCATATCATCGGTATGAAAGGCGTAGTTGGTCATCTCCATGTCAGACTGGTGAGGCAAACCAGCCTCTCCGTCACCTGTACGCTTCTCCTCTGTTAGATCTCCCAGCAGCAGCATCCTAAATAACAGACAATAATCGTTTAAATGAATAAAATGATAATCAATATTTTCAACATAAATGCATGATTGTTCATTGGTGGTTATGTGCAGAGTTTAATGATAAGGTTTTTTCAGATATCGATAAGATATACTGAGAAAAAAATAGTAGGTACTTCGAAATGTAGCGGAGGAAAATAATCTTCGCCCGCGGAGACAGGCTGCCCTGCCGGTCGTGAATGACGATGATGACCAGAGTGAAGAACAGGAATAATCCCATCAGCCCCATCCACAAGATGATCAGCGTAGCTGTAACATTAGAGACGGTAACTAGTCACCAGAATGCTTAATGAGTCATATCAAAGTAGCCAATGTCTTGAACGAATTGTTTTGAAAACAATACTGTGAGGGTATATCTAATCTTTACTCACCGAAAAGAGGCAATGCCCCTTAACAGGAAGTACGTCTGTCACAAACACGAGAGACACGACCATGGAGAGTAGAATGGTCACTCCAAACGCGATCCGGTCGCCCCTGTCTAAGGGCATGATGAATGTGATGTTCATCAGTACCACCAGGATGATGCAGGGTCCTACAGTAGTGGCGATGTGGAACAGCGGGATTCTCGATAGATGAATAGTGAGGCACGCTTCACTGTTTTCTTTCGCGAAGATCTTATCCTTTCGGTACCATTCACCCTCCGGTGTTGTAGTAGAGTAAGAGTTGCACGGAGTGATTCCCATGTCGACTGCAGGCCATTCCACTTCGCATCCTATGTTAAACATATTGTTCCAATCCTAACTTTATTGTTATTAGGACAATAGGTATCAGAAAGGTAAAATACATAAGATTTTGTAAGATTTTGTTTTCTTATCCACGAATGCCAAATTCTAGTTATGAGTTCATCCTCCTTCTATAAAACATTTTTTTTATTTATTTATTGAAACGACAAAGTACAAGACATGGTACAAGACACTGAGGTGGAAACTCTAGCCGAAGCTAATAATAATCACACCACTGACCTAGAATACAAAATACAGGTATGAAAATGACAAAAGAACAAATGAGCATTCGTATTTACAAGAGTAACGGCAATATAAAACATTGGGCAACTGTAAATCGCTGGGTATTAAGTATAAATGTTTGAGTAATAATCAGAATTTTTGTTGACTTCATGACGTAAAAGGGGCGAACCCCTCAATAAAAGATTAATACTGGCTTGGTCAGACAAGTTGCGCAAGTCAAAAGTAGAGCCTACTAGGCTCTGTAAGTTGCTGTGAAGGGTCACTCTATGCAAGTTGTATACAGCGCAGTACAAAAAAATGTAAAATGTCTTCGCATTTAGACCCACAGGTACCGACAGAGCTAAGAATTAAATTACGTTGATATAAACTTTGATTTAAGCTGCAGGTTCCAATGCGGAGTAAGTAGGACGCAGGGGTACCTGGGGCCGTGGCTAAAATGCTGATAAAGGGTAGGACGTACTAACTTGACTAAATGTTTTTTTTTTTAAATTGAAAAATTAAGAGAACGAACATCTACATCAAGACTATTCCAGTCTTGCGTTGCGTATGGAATAAAAGACCTACGGTATCTAATTGTGGTACAGGACGGGACCCGTAGATTGGATTTATTGCGAAGTTTATAAGAAGTAGAAGCAGAGATTTGGGGAGGGATCAGGTCCCTAAGATACTGGCGAGTGTGGCCGCGGACAATTTTATAAAACATAACCAGTGAGTGAACATGGCGGCGATCCGAAAGCGCGTAAGCTGTAAGCGCGCATTCATATTGGACACGTTGTCAAACATAACATCATGTTTAGACATCTTTAAAAACACGGACATAAAAAGTAAGTTACAAATTATTGCAGAAGCCTTACGGATGGTTTGTGCAATTGCTGTGCTTGCAGAAAAGCAGATGTTGCATTCCATGCTGTCTGCAGGAAAGAAGAAGGGGTCTGCATCACACACGGTGGTGGTCAGGGTTTCTATACGCCATTCCACCAGACCATCGCTGCTCACTCGGACCGGCACATCCTTCTGTAGGCCTTTGTACACCGGATCGGCACTGCGAAGTAACCAACAAATTCGAAGTAACACAGCCACAAAGAACATCTTGCAATGAAGGAAATTACAAGAAATGCTTGTACTCAAGGTAAATTTGTGGCTGTACTTGTCATACATATGCAGCAACTTTTTTGCCCATACCAAAACAGCACATGGCCACGTGGACTTTGTACTGATGGGTCATCTACTGGTGGAAGAGGCTCCGCCCAGCCCTCCCCATCATGTGGCCTACCTCATTATGTGACATCATCACCAAACCAAAAAAGATCTAACCGTTCCCAGACTACTTGTTAGGGAAGCGAGTGTGGGAGCCCCGGCATACAAGTAGGATGGTACCGAGGCTATAGCATAAATGTCAATATCAGACAGATTTCCTCATATAGATTTTTTTTTACTCGCTTCATAAACAACACGTTTATTATACTCATTCTCGTGTCATTTCTTTAAATGGATTATATTTGTTTATTTTGGGCCCAAATGACCTGAAATTTGGTACTGAGACACAGTGGACAAATACCCACAGGCGTTTTTTTCTTTCATTTTTTTTATATAAGCTATTAAGAATTGTTTTATTAATGATTCACCCGCGGTCATGCACAGTAAACCCGCGGCTTCAAGCCCGTTTAAACACGAATACCGCCTAACAGTACAAAATCTACCTTTTTACAAATATAAACCAATTTCGGGACAGTACATCTATGTCCTGTTTTGTCGTGGGTATGTAACGGCAGTAGCTCCATTATAATGGAGCTACTGCCATTATCGTGTGTGACCTTGAAGATCGTCATTGTTGTTTACGGGGCTGTAAGTTACCCCCTGCACTTACTCACACGATCTAACTTGCGTGCAAACATACCTTTTAAACCGCAACAAAAACAAATTCAATATACCTCAAAAACGGTTTAACCCTACCTAGACCGGGCTTTTTTTGACATGGGGGGACGGGGGGGGGGCTCTTTTGACCCCCCCTAAGAAACTCGCGAACGGTATGTCGTATGACCACCAAATTTTCAGAGAATGGTGTACTAGTGACAATTTATCATATCTACAAGTTTTATGTCGTTCTGACTTAATATGACGTTATTATGACGTCATTAATGTGATTTTATTGGCCAAAACCGTCAGAATAGGTTTTTCCCTGAAAACTAAATGGTATTCAACATAACTGTACCAAAAGTGTTTATGGCAGAATATTATGGTGTACTAAGTCTTATGTTGCCCAGAGCAACACCGGTGACGTCATAAAATGACGTCATGCATATTTAAGATATCCGCCATCTTGGATCATCAATCTTGAATTTTCAAAAATAGTTTTTTTTTCATGATAAAGCCTAAAATACATTGTAAACATACTAAAGACCTTCATTTAAAACTTTTTTGGAAAAAGAAATGGAAGTATTGATGAAATTTTAATGAAAATAACCTGTATATACCTCTTCTAATGATATGGTCCGCCATCTTGGATTTTGGCCAATGACGTCATCAAATTAGCATAAATTGTGCATATTTAAAGATGAAATTTGCATAAAATTATATGGGATGTTATTGATATTAGAAACCATGAGTAACTTGACATAAAACCCTTAAAATTCTATTGTTGAAATAAAAAGTACAAAATTTAGCAAAAATGCGTCAGAAAGCCGTTGCCATGGCAACACAAAAAATTATTATCTTATTCCAATGATATGGAATTGTTGCCAACAATATTCTAGGAAAAGTCACCAAGTTTGGCCGTTCTACGGCTAGCCGTTCAGACTCTAGGTGACATCAAGCTTGCCACGGGCACTTTTAGTACCCCCCCCCCCGGGCTAGGTAGGGTTAAATTGTAGGCAAGACAAAAATCTCGATTTGTGTCGGACGAATTTTTTAAAGATTGCGGTATTCTAGAATTGGAAGTTGAAAAGCGCATTTTTGGGCGAAATTTTCGACCTTAGCAACACCTGAATTAACTTTAGAATAAAGAAAACTGTCCGGCTCAAAATTAATTTTGTTATACTAAAAATGTGGGATATTTCTGGGAGATTTGGGGTCGGTATGAATCAGTTATTTAGTTATTGACGTCGATTGTTCTAGAATAAATTGCCCAGATCAAACACGATCGAACACATTTCGAATTCTATGAAATGTGGGAACTTTGAAACCTAGATTTGACCACCGTGTATCGTCTTTGGTTTTCGAATCGTACGATTTGAACATTTCAGGTGACGTTAAAAGGTATGACACAAGTATTCCAGAACAGCAAACCGTTTTAGAATATGGTCTTTGGTTTTGGAATTGTACGTGTTTGAACTTTCAGATGACGCTATTGTAAAAAGTTAATGGTCATGTTATGCTTAGGATTTGGGTTAGGGTTAGGATAAAGGAAGGTCCTAGGATTGAAAAATGTTGTATCGTTTAAAAGGGTATGACACAAGTATTCCAGAACAACAAACCGTTTTGGAATTTCGTCTTTGGTTTTGGAATTGTACGTGTTTGAACTTTTCAGATGACGCTAGGGTAAAACGTTAATAATCATGTATTGATTAGGGTTTCGGTTAGGGTTAGGGTAAAGATAGGTCCTAGGAAGTTAAAGCTTGGTATCGTTAAAATGGGTATGACACAAGTATTCCATAACAGCAAACCGTTTTGGAATATCGTCTTTGGTTTTGGAATTGTACGTGTTTAAACTTTTCAGACGACGCTAGGGTAAAAGTTAATGATTATGTTATGATTAAGGTTAGGGTAAAGAAAGGTCCTAGGAAGATAAAGCTTGGTATCGTTCGAAAGGGTATGACACAAGTATTCCAGAACAGCAAACCGTTTTGGAAGATCGTCTTTGGTTTTGGAATTGTACGTAATTGAACTTTTCAAATGACGCCATAAAAAGTTAATGATCATTTTATGCTTAGGGTTTGGGTTAGGGTTAGGGTAACCGAAAGTCCTACAAGGAAATAGTTTTGAATCGTTCGAAAGGGTATGACACAAGTATTCCAGAACAGCAAACCGTTTTGGAATATGGTCTTTGGTTTTGGAATTGTACGTGTTTGAACTTTTCAGATGACGCTAGGGTAAAAGTTAATGATCATGTAATGATTAAGGTTAGGGTTAGGGTAAAGAAAGGTCCTAGGAAGATAAAGCTTGGTATCGCTCGAAAGGGTATGACACAAGTATTCCAGAACAGCAAACCGTTTTGGAATATGGTCTTTGGTTTTGGCATTGTACGTGTTTGAACTTTTCAGATGACGCTAGGGTAAAAAGTTAATGATCATGTAATGATTAGGGTTAGGGTTAGGGTAAGGGTGAAGAAAGGTCCTAGGAAGTCAAAGCTTGGTATCGTTCGAAAGGGTATGACACAAGTATTCCAGAACAGGAAACCGTTTTGGAATATGGTCTTTGGTTTTGGGATTGTACGTGTTTGAACTTTTCAGATGACGCTAGGGTAAAAAGTTAATGATCATGTAATGATTAGGGTTAGGGTTAGGGTAAAGAAAGGTCCTAGGAAGATAAAGCTTGGTATCGCTCGAAAGTGTATGACACAAGTATTCCAGAACAGCAAACCGTTTTGGAATATGGTCTTTAGTTTTGGAATTGTACGTGTTTGAACTTTTCAGATGACGCTAGGGTAAAAAGTTAATGATCATGTAATGATTAGGGTTAGGGTTAGGGTAAAGAAAGGTCCTAGGAAGGTAAAGCTTGGTATCGTTCGAAAGGGTATGACACAAGTATTCCAGAACAGCAAACCGTTTTGGAAGATAACCAGAAGTTCACGAACGTAACAACGTCGTTACCACCCTTGGACCGGTCCAAACTGCCAGCATACCTCCCAAGTCGCCCTCCCCCAGTAGTTCATCCCTGGGATGTGTACTGGAAACTGCGTAGGATCAAGACCAATAAATCTCCAGGCCCTGATGGAATAGATGGTAGATTGCCTAAAGAATTTGCCTACGAACTGAGCGAACCGATTGTTGACATTTTAAACTCCTCCCTACTTGAAGGGACTGTGCCACATGAGTGGAAAGAGGCAGTTGTGGTACCACTCCCGAAAACCAGCCCACCAAGCATCGACCACCTTCGACCGGTGTCGCTGACCTCTCTCATTGGCAAGATGTGTGAGAGTTTCGTGGCATCCTGGGTGCTTCAGGATATCAGACACCGTATATGTAAAAACCAGTTTGGGTGCCTGAAGGGGCGGTCGACAACCCACTGTCTTGTCAACTTGGCTAACCAGCTCTACAAGACAGCAGACAGAAGAGGATCCTCCACCACTTGGGTACTAACAGACTTTAGCAAAGCATTTGACCTCGTGGATCATACGGTAGCAATACAGCACCTGCTCGAGCTGGGAGTCAGGTCGGAGATCATCCCCTGGATCGTCAGCTTCCACACAGAACGTTCACAG